ATGAGGCATTACACAGAGAGCTTAGAACAGGGCCTGGCACACAGTAAATACATGCTTGTAAATGTCAGCTATTGCAAAAGTCACAATTTAAAATGTTTATCCCAATGAATCTTCAAGAATACATCTACTGAAGGGGCACCTGGGTGGCTCAGTCAGTTGAGTGTCTGACTCTTGGTTTTGGCTCAGGTCTTAATCTCTTGAGATGAGGCCCCGAATCAGGCTCCATGCTGAGCGGGGAGTCTCCTTGGGATTCTCTCTCTCTCTGCCCCTCTCCCACTGCGCGCGTGCACTTGCTCTCTCTCTCTAATAAATACATAAATCTTTTTTAAAAAAAGAATACATCTATTGAATAAAATTTATGTTCCAGACTAGAACTCATTTTTTCATCCAAGTTTCTCCCCACAACATGCATGTAGTTAAATGCATGCATTTAAGTGGAAGCTTGTCTTTCTGCTCATTTTCTAATTGCTAATTCTGTAAAGCAGTACTAAAACCCAACAGTACTACTGTCTAAAAAATACCAAACTTACACTGCTACATACAGAGATGACTCATACCTCAGAAAGTAACAAGTGGAAGCGTTAACAGGATTGGAAACTCTTACTCTCAAACAATCTCTAGCTGGCACTGTGGTAAAAACCTATCTTGTGTGGGCAAATATCTTATTATGGATGGGCACATTTGTTCTAGAGGATTTATTTAGTGTTATCAATGTTCTAGGCTCATTCAACCAAAACCAAATCAAAGAACTAATTGTGTGCTGAACTAAATGCTGTCATACTTATCTAGAATCTAATAAATAAAACTTTTTGAGCTGAAATTAACCTATCTAAGAATGACATTTCCTAAAACACTGTAAAAATCAATTTAATAATATCACCTGACAAGAATTTTTAACCTGGGATCTGTAAACCTCATGAAATGATGCAGAAAATTCTGTGTGTGTGTGTGTGTGTGTGTGCATTTTTCTAGGAAGGTGATCCAATGCTTTCATCAGATCCTAAAAAGGGAGTGGAATTCCAAAAAGTTAAGAATCACTGCTTTTTACAGTTATAAATTTCTTTTTGTCCTTATGTTATTAGTTTCAAAAAGAACCTGCTTACATAAAATTAAGCAGTATAATTCTAAATCCATTCCAATCTCACATTTCCCAAATAACTCTGAATATGTATAACAAATTCACAACTACAAAAACACTTCAAGTTATTCAAAAGTTCTTAGAGCCTACAAACCTTTCCCAGAGCTGTTTAAGAGACAGTAAGAAACAAAGAGCACAGAACCACTAAAAAACGGTTGAGTGAACTTTAGTCAACCCCGGTACAGTCCGTATGTACGGAAAACATGGGCCGGTATGATAGAAGAGACAGGCTCTAATTATCGACTGAATACAGTTACAAGTGGCTACAAAGACAGTCAAATTTCAGTATTCTATAGTTAGAAAAGACAGTTTTGGAGATAAATCCAGACCATCACTGCAACTTCAGAAAGACCTACATAAAATTAGTTGCTTGAGCTCACAGAAAAGTTCATAATGCCCACAAGCCCATGCGATAGTTTGATTCGTTTTACAACTACCCTGTAATTTAATCTCTCATTAGAATAACTTATTAGCAAAAACATACAACTTAATGAGATTTCCTTCGAGGTACAGGCTGAGATTGGCGACTACCCCTGAAATAATCCAATCCCGTTTCAATGACAGTAACCTTCAGTTAAAAACCTATGAACCTTTAAACCTGGCAACAGTTCAAAATCAAACAAAAAATCATCACCAAACTAAAGTTAACCAAAGTGATCCTGAGGTCTGCTTCCTTCCCTCGCCCTTCGGGCCCGCACCTCTTTGTGCCCAAGGGTGTGAGGGTCTTCTAACCTCAGACCCCAGTTACCGGCCCTGGAACGACACCCTGTCGCAAGCCTCAGGGGAGGTCCTGCTCAGCAGTGGAAACGTTGGCGGATGTGGATCAGCGCGATCCCCGAAGCAGCCGTGACGCCAGGCGTTGTCCCGACGGGCCCGAAACGAAGACCGGGGCGCGCCGCCACCACAGACCGGGCCGCAGGCTGACGGGAACCAGCGGAGACAGATGCCGCGGTCCCAGCTTTCGCCTGTGCTCCACCTCAACGCCCGAAGGCCGGCGAAGAAGACGGGGGGGTGGGGGAGGGAGAGACGGACACACCTGGAGGGGACCCTCAGCGACCGGTTCCCGTGTTAGCGCGACGCCCGTCGGACGCTCCCAGCATTCGTCGCCGCCCCTCCTCCAGCCCCAGGGCCACCTCCACGTTCCGTTCCAACGTGGCAGCCGCAGCCCCTCCCAGCCGGCTGGCCGACGCTTCCGGAAGCGACGCCTCGCCCGGCCCACTCCGGAGCACTGCCCGCCACGGCACTTCCGGGAGTGGTGGCAGGCGGAGTCCCGGGCCCTGGGCCCGCGGTGAGGCCGGCGGCGACCTGCGCGCCTGCGCGCCTGGCGACCCGTTCTGAAGGGCGGCGTGCAGGGCGAGGGTGCGATGACCCGGGCACTCGAAAAAGAAAAGTCCTGCTGGGTGTAGCTGTCTGCTCGAGGAACTGCCGAGGCCCGCAGGAACGCCACGTAGCGTTAATCCTATGAGACGTGGGCAGCCCCGGCAACACCGCCAACACCGGACAAATCACGTGAAAAGGGGCTGTAGGGCCCTAATTGAACTAATTTGTGATTGGGTTTTTTTTTTTTTAAGATTTTTTAAAAATATATTTTATTTATTTATTTGAGAGAATGAGAAAGAGCATGAGAGGGGGGAGGGTCAGAAGGAGAGATGCGGCACTCGATCTTGGGACCCCAGGGTCATGACTCCAGGGTCATGACGTGAGCTGAAGGCAGTCGCCCAACCAACTGGGCCACCCAGGCACCCTTTTTAAATTTTATTTATTTATTTTAGAGGAAAGAGAGAGCACACAAGCAGAGGGAGAGGGAGAAGCAGACTCCCCACCGAGCAGGGAACCCAATGCGGGACTCGATCCTAGGACCCTGGGATCATGACCTGAGCCGAAGGCAGACGCTCAACAAGTGAGCCACCCAGGCCCCGTGATTGGTTTTTTTTTTTTTTTTTTTAATTGCACAGTTGGTTCTAGGGTATTGCGTTTTGAGAACTTCTTTAAAAACCAAATGGTCTGGTCAGAGTCTGTTGTGGGCACACCTGGGTGACTCAGTGGGGTTAAGCCCGTCTGCCTTTGGTTCAGGTCATGATCCCTGGGATCCAGCCCTACATCGGGCTCCTAGCTCAGCGGGGAGTCTGCTTCTTCCTCTGCCTGTGCTCTCTTAAATAAATAAAACATTTAAAAAAATGAAGTCTGTTACGGACATTCTTACTTTGTTACTCCAAAGGGGCATAGTGGAGTCAAGTAGTCCAGTTACCATGGTATGGTACTGCTTGAGATCTACTAAGATTTGCCCTTTGTCACTGGAACATTACTAGCTCCGCCAGACCCTGGCATCTAATTAATGTATTGCCTGGATGTCGTTTTTAGTTTAGGAGTTGTTTTACAGCATAGAAAGTAAAACCAGAGGAAAAGCACTTGGTATTACTAACGATCAGAACCTCGACCGAACCCAGGTCTACTATAGCAGTTCTCTTTCCATTACACTGATCAACATTATCTCCTCAGGCCTTCTCTAAAGCACCTTTACTTCTAAGTACAAGAGAGTAGGATTTTTGCACTCTTTCGAACACCCTTTTAATTTGGAAAGCCGAGTTTGTTTTTCTAGGACAGAAATAGATTAAACGGATTACTTAGGTTACAGTAGCTAATTTCTAGTGTTCTACAAAGCCATTTCTACCTACAGCTTTTACCTAGAGGTGCCAATAAAAAATCCGACTTAAAAGTGGGTCTGTTGGGCGCCTGGGTGGCTCAGTTGGTTAAGCGACTGCCTTTGGCTCAGGTCATGATCTTGGAGTCCCAGGATTGAGTTCCGTATCGGGCTCCCTGCTCTGCAGGGAGTCTGCTTCTCCCTCTGACCGTCTTCCCTCTCATTCTCTCAAATACATAAAATCTTAAAAAAAAAAAAAGTGGGCCTATCATTTGAGTCAAGAAAAAACACCCAGTCCTTACTACCCCAGACCTCCTACTACCTGGAATTGTACAGTATGGAGAAAGTGTTCATTCGAACTTCACCAAAACTCAATGATTCAAGCAGTGGTTACATTCTTTGGTATCATTTAATGTACATGTTCCTATCGCATTAAGTCAAACTACAAAGCTCCCTGCTCCCCATCCGCTTTTGTAGGCTGTGAGGTAAAAAAGGTATTTTAAGAAACAAGTCTCATGATTGGAACATAGCCACTTTCAGTGGTTTATGTATTGTCAATGGTGGTTTTCGTGCTACATGGGCAAACTTGAGTAGTTGCTACAGAGACCATAATTGTCTGCAAAGCCTCAAGTATTTACCGTATGGCCCTTTACAAGTTTGCCAATCCCTACTCTTTTAGAGAGGATTTTACCTACAAATGGATTAATACTCAAAAAGTATGAGACATACAGTATTGTAAATTTATTTAAAAGCCTTAACATAGTAGCATACAAAGGCAGTATGCAAAATGTCAATTACAGGGACACCTGGGTGGCTCAGTTGGTTAAATGTCTGCCTCCCGCTCAGGTCATGATCCCAGGATCCTGGGATCGAGTCCCGTATTTGGCTCCTTGCTCAGCAGAGAGCCTGCTTCTCCCTCTGCCTGCGGCTCCCCCTGCTTGTGTACACACTCCTGCTCTAATAAATATATTAAAAAAAATGTCAATTGTAACTGGTGATCATAAAGGTAAAGCGTTTTTGTTTCTAGACTTAACCTATTTATCTGGTTAAATATAAAGACTTCCTAGCTTGTTTTAAATGCAGGGAGTTCTCACGTGGACTATGCAAGCTGAAACTGCAATCTTAACCTACGGGATTAACAATCTTGTTCTGTAACCTTAAAATCTGTCAAACTCTCTTGATGTTGGTTATAAATACAAAAAAATATTTAAAACAGAAACATTGAAAATTGTAGCGTTTTATTTACAGAAAAGTCTCAACAGTAGTTTGAATAGTGCTTGCTTTCTCATGTAATTTACAATATGGAGCAAGAATCTTTTCTTCACCTTGGCAAACTGTCATACTCCTGAGTTTGGATCTGCTTCTAAAATTTTATTCTTTACGCATTCAATGTCATGAAATATCTGAGAGTTCCTTTAATGTGGTTTGTCACCTGCATCACTTCCTCTGAAACGTATTCATCCTTTACAACACACAATGGCTTTCCTCCTCTATAACTATGTTCACCTTCACTAAATTCTTCTGGCTGTATATCTAGACTACTTGAAGTAGCAGCAGTGTTAACATTCCCAGTCATCTGTATCTTCTAGAACTCCATTTACATTACAGCCAAACCCTGTGATGTTTTTACACAGTAGTCTTCTAATGTACAAAGCAAGGACTGCCTATGATTCTTGGAATAATGTGCAAATTTCACAGTAGCATCCTTATCTGAGCTTGCAGCTTCACCAGATAGCAGAAAATTAATCAATTCATGCCGACTTTACAAACGACGAAACCAGCCTTTATTAGCAGTAAAATGTTCTTTTTCAGTCTCCTTGTAGTTAACCATTTTCCTTCAGTGCAGCAACTAACCTCAACACTTTGGCTTGAATGCTAGCCAAACTGATTGGGATTTGTTTTTTATTAGAGTCCTCAGTCCCAAGTAGAAGTAAACATTCCATTTCAACCATACATGGCTTTCTGTTCCTAGTACAATTTAAAGTAAAAAATGTTGAAGCAACTTTACCTAAAAGTTTCACTGAACTTTTAAAAGATGGTTCGTACTATAGGTTCATGTCAGCCTAGGTCTCATCTTGTCTTCACTATGCTGTCACCATTTTCAAATCTTCTAATGACGTCCAATTTCACTTCCAGTGTTACCACTTTTTGTTTCTTTGCTGCCCTGTCATCTTTGTTGACCAATTCCCTCTTGATTATCCATTTTTGTAAAATGTCGGGGGGTTTATCACTGGAAAACTAGGCAACACAACTACATGCTTTACTCTGTGTGAACTAACAGATGTTAAGTGATCAATCACCAACAGACTTTTGAAAGAAGTGATATAAGTGGTTACTGACAATCTTTTATATGCATAATCATTTGTGGAATAAAGAGCTACCAGCAATGCTTATGCAACAATTTGGTTACTATTGTGGTAACTGAAATTTCAACCATGTTGTAGGGGAATTGATGTTATTTAACTAAACTGTGAAAACTGATCTTCACGTATATTGGAATGATGCAAAGTAAGGACTACCTGTATCTAAAAAGAAAAACTTGTATTAGTTCACAAAATAGTCAACTTTTAACCCAATTTAACTACTGGTCAAACATAACTATAGATCAAAATAAAAACCAAAGGTTTTCTCAAAGGAATGTTAGTTCCAGACTGAATTACTCATTGGAGCTGGAAAAATGTTTGGAGACAAATACATAATTCTTCATATTAGGATTTGCAGACAGTCCAACGACATCCTTTTAAGAATTTAGGCCCCCTCCCCTCATTTCAGTAATATTGAGGTCTGCAAAAAAGTAAAGTTCTGGCCAAATCTACTGTCGTCCAGGCTGTAAAGCTTTACAGTCATCACAAGGCACAAGACTGTATGTGTTTACAACTTATTCCATACCAGCCAGCAAGCACTATGTTTACTTCTGTAACAGTAGCATCCATCTCATTAATGTTTTAGTTTTGTTTTTGAATGCACTTATTTTGTACATCTTTTCATTAAGGCATATAAGCAAAGTTTACATTAACTTTTATGTTTATAGAAATTTATGAAATGAAAATGTGTGTGAATCAATTTTGAGTATTTGCAAATATTTTTCTCCTTTATATTCCTGATTTGAAACACTCCAAGACTACATGCATACTGACAGACTAATCTGGTATTAGATTTGAGATTTCCAGCTTTTGACTACCTACTTATCTACTGTTCTTGAATAAAGCTTAAGTTACAGGATGGTCATTCAGTGGCATATCAAAGAGTCATTTATAGATGATCCAAAAGTTCAGCAAATTTAAACCCTGGAATATATGATCTCTAAGAATTTCAGGGCCTGAATTACATTATTGTTTCTGAGAAAAGATGATCATCAAGGTTAAAAGTCCTGACCCCAGCCACCCAATTGCCAATCCTGAATCAAATCTATTGATTTAGAAAATTATCTTTCAAAGGTGAAAGGGAAAAAAATTTGAGTATGATATCCACATTATGCTCACATATTGTTTGCTGAAATCTGATTTTCTGTTCGCCAAAATTAACAAATTAATAAACCTCTTACCTTACTATATAAACGTTCACATTTTTTATCAGATAAATCTGACAAAATGATGTTCTTTATGAAAAACCCTTAATTTCATTCCTAAAAGGGAAAACATTAATAAGTAAATCAACAGACAGAAACTATAGTCTATCTATACTTTTTTTCTCTATGATTTTCTTTTTCCATTATGTCCTCATCCACATACATTAATCACAACAAATCATGATGTGAACAGCAGTGGAAAAGTTTAATCATTGGACATTTATATTTTTTTCCTATTTTCAACTTAAGCTATAATCGTAAGTTTTCCATGGATTAGCCCTTTTTAAACACATAATACACATTTCTATAAATTTTAATTCTCATAAACAGATTAAGACCTCCAATTTTACTATGAATGGAAAAAAACTCATACCAAAGATTAATTTCAAGTATTTATTTATCTACTTTGCATAGATTACCTTATGCTAATTTAGAAATGTATTCTCAACATTAAGCTTGACATGGAAAGGATAACTATAGCTTAATACAAATACATTCCAAAACTGGTTATATCTTGTTTTATAGTAATGCTTTTTGTTATTTGAGAAAGGACTGCCTTTCCAAGCATCAGAAGCACGTAAGTTTTAAAGGAAAAGGGGGAGAGTTGTCACTCCTAACAAAGAACTTTTAAGCAGTGATAAAAGGAAAAGAAGACTCCAAGGATTACAAATCCTTGGCACTAATTAGAATTCTGCCAATTATTGGCATTCTGATTGCTTTGCCAAGTCTATATTTTGCTCATTAAGAGGGACAGACGACCATGGGGGAAGGGGAGCAACAGAAAGAAAGGAAGTATGGGGTGCCCGGGTGGCTCAGTTGGTTAAGTGTCTGACTCTTATTAATCTCAGGGTTGTGAGTTCAAGCCCTGTGTTGGGCTCCATGCTGGGTGTGGAGCCTACTTAAAAAAAGAAAGAAAAGTATACGCACCATATTGGATAAATATCAAGCTTTTGAGGAAAAGGACACAAAGTGCCTAAAGCTGCTGCTGCATATTTATACCTTTATTCCATCCTATGTCAAATATTTCCATAAGTGCCTTTAAATAATTGGACTATGTTCCTTCAAAAACTGGAAACACAAATTTCAACCTAAGTCAGTCTGCATCCCAAGCAAAATACCAGGAGTACTTATATCTATAGTCTTCTCTAGCCACCTCCACCTAGGAAGAATTGGGAAAAGGGAAATGGGTCCAAGAAAAATATATATGACCAACGTAGAGTATTCTAGGTATAAAATGAGCTTTCTTATACAGTCCTTAGCAAATTTCCAAAAGGAAAGTAGCATCACTTATGGAATTTATATATTCATGGGCAAGAAACTGTGCACCTTAGAAAAGAGAGCACTTATTGGATACAGAGGCTCTCATACTTCTAATTATCTGACCAGAAGATCAAATATCAAACTCTTGATTCAATAAATTGAATTAAAAAAAAAAAAAAAAAGGCAAGCGTGGTAGTTGACCTCCAAGAGGATCCCCAACAATCCTCCACCCTTGGTATTCACACCCTTGTACGTGTCCACCTCCATGTCATCTTGGCATTTCTCTCTTGGATCATTCCCTCTGGTGGAAGCCAGTTGTCATGTTGTGCGGATACTCAGGCAGCCTATGTTCACATGGTGAAGAACTGAAGTCTTTAGCCAAAAGCCATCAAGGAACTGAGGCTTACCAAGTCAGAGTCTGGAAAACTGATGTCTCTGCTTCACCCTCCTCCCACTGTAAGGTAAGTGTTTATTGTTGTAACCTACTAAATTTTGGAGAATTTTTACATAACAATAATTAATACAGAGGGCCACAATCCATATTCAAAAAGTAAAATGTAGAGGTGCCTGGGTGGCTCAGTTGGTTGGGTGGCCAATTCTTGATTTTGGCTTGGGTCATGATCTTGGGGTCCCAGGACAGAGCCCGGTGTTGTACTCTCCACTCAGCTCTTCCTCTCCCTCCCCTGCCCCCCTGCCGCTTGCAGTTGTGCTCTCTCTTGAAAATAAATAAAAAGAATCTTTTTTAAAAGAAGAGAGAGTATGCACATGAGAGTATGTGAGAGAGAACAGGAACAGGGGAAGGGGGAGAGGGAGAAGCAGACTTCCCACTGAGCAGGGAGCCCAATGCGGGGCTCAATCCCAGAACCCTGGGATTATGACCTGAGCTGAAGGCAGACGCTTAACTGACTGAGCCACCCAGGTGCCCCTAAATAAATATACCTTTTAAAAAAAGGTAAAATGTACAATTTATGAACTAACTGAAAAGATCCGAAATTTTGGAGAAAGGATCAGATTCAGAACATTTTTTTACAGTTGGTCACCAATAATTTCCAAACCCCAAGGCTTTCTGAACTGAAAGGATGAAAAATTCAGCAAGAATATTACTAGAAATACATTTTAATATATGAGGCCAATAAGGGTTCTAGTAGAACTAGCTAAGGAATCCAACAAAAGGGTAGGTGTTCAACAAGGAAGATACCACTCTTAGAAAGCAAAAAGTCTATTTGCTTTTGAGGTACCTAGGTGGTTCAGTTTGTTAAGCCTTTGCCTTCGGCTCGCTCCGGTCCTGATCTCGGTCCTGGGATCTAGCTCTGCCTCTGGGCTCCCTGCTCAGCAGGGAGTCTGCTTCTCCCTCTGCGGGGGGGCTCGATTTCTCCTATACTCTAGGAGCATCCTCTAACAGCCCCCACCCCCTCCCCGTCTCTTAAATTAAAATAGCCTATTTGCTTTCATATGCTTGTTGTGAGAAAGTGTTTATAAAAACAAAACTGTGTGTATAAAATGCTAGCACAATGCCTGACATATAATGGTTCAATAACCATTAGCTGTTATTTTCTCCCCCAAGCTACCGAATTAATGAGATTCTATAACAGGAAATTATATTTCACCAAAGCCTTCACAAATCTTTGCTTGGACAATCCTCTATTTTCAACTCAGTACTATCGTTCCAGGAACACTTAGTACATTTAAAAGAGAAAGATATACTGATACACTACCTCCCCTGTATATTTGGAGTAATTATCTTCCAAGGCCCAGGAATCTTTTTCCAACATCTCCAAGAATGTTAATTCCTGAAAAAAGATATTTTAAAAATTACATTGCACAATGGTCAATGCCTTTTGTAATAATACCTTTAATACAGCTTACATATCCTCATTTATATATTCAATAATCACAACAGTTCATTATGTGAACAGCAGTGAAAAGGTTTAATCACTGGATATGAAGTTATTGGAGGAAGCAAAGATAAATGATCAAATTGAGAACCTCAGTGTCACCAGTAAAATAGCAACAAAAATGTAAAAGTTATAACCAAATATAAAGATACATAAATACAACTCAAAAAAAATTAGCGTATTTCCCTATCCAGAAGTATGCCCTAAAAATACCTAGGGCAGTGACTCCTCGTGGCTCCCATAAAGTGAGTTTTTCATTTAATCAGTCTACACCATTAAAGTAAATCTGTTTTGGGATGCCTGGGTGCCTCAGTCGTTAAGCGTCTGCCTTTGGCTCAAGTCATCATCACAGGGTCCTGGGATGGAGCCCCACATCGGGCTTCCTGCTCAGCGGGAAGCCTGTTTCTCCCTCTCCCACTCCCCCTGCTTGTGTTCCCTCTCTCGCTGTGTCTATCAAATAAATAAATTAAAATCTTAAAAAAAAAAGTAAATCTGTTTTGCAGCATAGCAGTTTTCAGTAACTCATTTGTACAAGAATGCCTTGAGAATAATGTTGAGAGCCACAGTATCTGGAATCCAATTAAGCAGAAAGAAAAGCCCTCTTTTCCTCTGAACCCATGATGCCTAACTGGCTGCAGGGGTACTTTCAACTCTAACTTAAGAAAATGAAAAACGAGAGCCTCCACCTGGGGCTACCTCCCCAGCTCCACCCACATGCCCTCAGGTGCTCAACAGGTTATACCATTTAGCAGCCCATTATCATACTCAGAGCTCCACTTCTATCTGTAATGTCTAGCATCCACCAGCCTCATTCTTCTAATATACCCTACGGCAGTCTCCACTGAAGTTACCTTGCAGGGGATGGGAGGGCTTAGGAGTACTTCCCCAGGTACTGATCACTATTTTAGAGATGATCAAATTGCATAGATTTCGAGTAATCATTGCTAATTTTCTTTTTTCCCTATAAGCCCCGCTTCTTTCAGATGCACAATTTTCTGAACAGAGGTATTTTTCAGAAACATGTATGTTATAGAACATACTTTATCTATTTGTGTGCTGGAGGCCGTAAAGACAAATTCACCTTAGACATTGTCTACACTCAAGGAGCATCCTCTAGCAGGTTCCCTACAAACCCCAAAGTCCTTAAAAATTGGGCAACCACCACAATGAAGTACCACTTCACACTCACAAGAACGTGGAGAAAATGGAATCCTCATCTACTGCTAGTGGGAATGAAAAACGGCCCAGCCACTTTGGAAAAAGTTTGACATATCCTCAAGAGTTTAATTAAATGTAAGTTAGCATATGACCCAGCAATTCCACCCTGAGGTATATACTCAAAAGAAATGAAAACGTGTCCACAAACTTGTACACTAACGTTCACAGAATTACCCATAATTGCCCCCCACAATGGAAACAACCCAAATGTTTAAGTGATGAATGGATAAATAAAATCATGGCAGTATATCCATACTTTTGGCAATTAAAAAAAAAAAGAAGTACTGATACCTGCTAAAATATGGATGCACCTTAAAAACATTCTAAGTGAAAGAAACCACTCACAAAAGACCATGTATTAGTTTCTGAATCCATTTATAAGAAATCTCCAGGATAGGCAAATCTACACCAAAAAAATTAGTGGTTTCCAAGAACTGAGGGTAGGGAAGATTAGAGGGAGTGAATGTTAATGAGAATCGGTTTTCTTTTTGCGGGGGTGGGGTGGGGTAAGGGTGGTTATAAAAATGTTCTAAAACTGATTGTGGTGATGGTTGCCCAACTCACAAAGATACTAAACCCCACTGATTTGTACACTTTACGTAGGTTAGTTGTATGGTATGTAACAGTCAGTAAAACTGTTACCCAAAAAACCGAAGCAACAATTTTTTCCTTAAAGATAATAAAATATTTTTATCTCTACTTAGCCTTATTTGGGTCTTAATTGGTTGAGTACTAGAAAAGTTTCTAATAGTCTAACAAATTGAAGGTGAATCAAATCCAGGTCCTACCCTTTGCACATATAACAGCCAAGCAAGCACATCCCCATGGATCAATTTCCCCCAAAATCAGGACTATCCTTAGGCCATGTGACTTTAAGAAAGCTACATCTACAAAAGCTCTGTTAACTTCGTTCAAGCAAGATATAATCATATTATAATGCAAAAGTAGATGTGAATAAGTAATACCTTTTTGGCAGGAATCTGGACTAAGTAAACAAAAAGGGGAAAAAGAAGCAATCTGGCTTGGAAATGTTGGAATCACTCTTGCCTCCTGGAGAAGGAAATGAAAAAATTGAATAGGAAGTACAAACATTTCTGTTTCCTTAATGGTCCTCCAATGTTTAGCAGGAGAGAAAGAAGCCATTTAATATGCTAAACATCTCCAAATGTACAAAATAAACTACACCCCATTTTGGTCCCAATTTATTTCTTCTATGAAAACTTAAATCTCACGCCGTAAACTTACACAAGACATCATTCTAAGGTCTTCTCACCCCTTGAAAGTTATCCATGATGTCCCACATCCCAACCAAAATCATTTCATTGTCCCTTTCTTCCCGTCCTTCCTCGTACTACTGCTGACGAGTCCCCAACTATACAAGTGCTGCCGCCAAGAGCCTCAAGGATCTTACCTTATTTCCTTCTTAATTCCCCCACAGACAATGGGTCTTGTAGAAAAGGGTTCGTTGAATTAAATGCCGACGTATCCTCATATTCACTCTCATTCAAGCTCCTCCGGGGTCACTTATCTCAGGCCAACCATACCAACAGCTCCTATATTATTATCTCCACATCAAGGAACTACCAAATAAAACGCAAGGAAATGATACGCTTCTCAGTAAATAATTTATTTTGGGCCCAATTTTGTCTTCAATATTTCCAGGGCACCGCGTTTATTCCTCGCCCATTTCTTCCTCCAGCCATATCCTCCAGTCACTTTCTGAGTTCGTACCGGAGACCTATCCCCATGTCCCTGGATTCGCCTCAATTTTGGCCTTGCCTCTTCACTTCGCATTCTCAAGCTCGGTCTCACAAGAACCCCGATGGCATCGGATGTAACCAGATGGGGTTGAAACAGAAGGAAAACAAAGCCATCAACAACTAAACCCACTAACCACCCTCGAACAAAGAAGGAGGAGCCGCCAAGTGCTCGTCTTAATGCCTCCGGTTTTTCCGATTGGCTGCAGCGGCGCGACGTGGCCTGTGATTGGTCACGACGTCAAGCGCAGCGCCCACGAAGAGGAAGGGTAGGAGTCTTGCGCCTTAAGAGCCCGCCTTTTCCGACAAATAAAGGTCGTAGCCGCCGAGCCCACGGGCGGAGCTAAATCTGTCGCGATTAATGCTGTCACGGGAACACCCAAAGTGGAGCCCCACGTAGCAAGATGACCCGAAGTTGCTCGGCAGTGGGCTGCAGCACCCGGGACACCGTGTTGAGCCGGGAGCGCGGCCTCTCCTTTCACCAGTGCGTGAGAGCAGCCTTCGGCTGTCTAACTCCCAGCACGGCCTGGCGGGCAGTAGGCCAGGGTGGGGCGGGGCCGGGCGTGCGTCGCGCCGTTGACGTGACGTGGCGTGACGTGCGTAGCGTGGAGGAAAGGAACGGGGGAAGTTTGAGAGTTAAGGTTGTTCCTGCTGTTCCCGCACATTGTTTACCTCTAAGTTGCCGATTCTTTTTCGTTGCCTACCGCTTACCTAATGGCTTTTAGCGGGGGTTATTCGAAAGGAGTCGTGCTTCCTTTCGGTCGTCTTATTTAATGTGAGACGGGACGGGAGGGCAGTTTGGGAGAACTGTCGAAGGTGTTCGATTCCATTAGAGTGTGTGGCTTGCTCATGAGCATGAGCGTAGATGAGTTTTCACCAGTACTGCCTGTCATTGCAAGTTATTCAGTAGAATTGACTGAGCTCTACAAGGTCGGCCAGAATGGCTGCATCTGGTCACGGCAAGAAGTTTCATTTGGCTCCAGAGTGGGGCAGATTTTCAGAGCAGTCTAATTTAAACCCACATCTGTAGTCCATATACACACACACACACACACACACACACACACATATATATATATGTCATTCAAATCAAAGTTCAAGGCACAATCGGAAGTAGAAAAGTGAGTAAAACAGATTCTCACAGACAAAAAAAAATATACTTCAAAAAGAGGTAGTCTACTAAGGTAACAGGAGATGTAGAGTTAAACCATTGACAGAGGACTTTTATGAGAAGATCAAAAAGAGCTTTATGGGACAGGTGGTATTTGAATTGGACCTTGAACTTAATCGGGGGTGGGAGTTAGCACTTAAATAGGAATAGCATGGAAAAACGTAAAGGGATGGAAAGTGCAGATAACCAGAGGAGTGGGAAAAGTAGCTTGAAGACATTTAAAAAGAAAAGGTTAAGGAGTTTCAACTATGTGTGGTTGGCCTTTTGTAGTCATTGTTTTGTTTTGGTTTTTTGAATAGGGTTGATTCCTCCAACTTAAGCTGTTGTAATTGTATTTTTTTTTCCTTCGGGATTTTTCCCCCATCAATTTGTTCCTTTTCTCTTTTTATTTTAAACTGCTCTCTCTACTGATCACTTGTCTAAGTCAATGAGCATGCTCACATTGCTTCCATTTTTAAACAGACTCACAAACTCTTGAGCCTATGTGCACAACTGCACTACCCTACCACTCCTTCCCTCCATAACCAGGCTCCTCAGAACAGGAGCATACACCTATTTCCCCAAGTCCTATTGACTTTTCAACCTATTGTAGCCAGATACCTGTCACTACTGCTCTAATGCACTGACAAAGGGTCACCAGTAATCTTCCCAAATCTAAGTGAGCACTTCTAAATCCTTCTCTTGACCTTTTTAACTTTTAATCATATCAACTACTCCATGAAACTCTCACCTCCATTGATTTTGACACTGTCCCTACTTATCTCCTTTTTCTCTAATTTTTCAATTTTTTGCTGCCATGCTTTTCTTATGACTTCTTAGGTTCTTTAAATGAGGAGGAGTTCATTTATTGCTTTTGTTTATTTTATATATTGAGGACCAAAGTAAGACCTGCTTAATTTTAAGAAAAGAAAGTGATATAATTATTACAGTACTCTGCTATGATTCTTCCAGGCTGATTTCTTCTCCATTCATTCCATTTTCCTGATTCCCAGAAATGATTTTTCTAAAAATGCAAATTTTATGCTAGTTTCCTGAAGAAAGGATTTTAATCTGAACTTTTCAGTGCCTAAAAGACATAGTCGAAGCTCCTCTGTGGAGCCTTTCCTTCTATACCTCTCTTCCAAATGTGAATTACATTCCCTCTGTTTTCTGTTACTGTATATATGTGCTGAATGAAACACATGTCCTTATATATGAATGGGAAGGAATCATCTGTCTTCCTATACCTAGGAAGTTGTAAGGAAGGCAGGAGAAAGGAGAGACAGGGAGAGGAGTTAGAATACTATGATGTTAGTCATAGCAACAAGGTAGTATTGATCAGAAGGGTTCAGAGGAAAGAATTTAAATTGTCAACTTGCCATTGCCCAGAGGCATCATCTTCAAACTTCTTGATCATGGAGCCCTCTCCGTAAGGAAATTTGAGTACAGGCCCCTGATATATGCATGGTGATTTATAAATTACATAACATGAAGTGATGTACTAATATATATTATGAAACACAAAAATCAAAGGATGGGGCAAAAAATTATAAAAATGGATTCTAATATGTTCTTCAAATCTCAGTAGATGAGTCCATTCTCCTCTGGAGGCCACTGATCTGAAGGATAGATCCCAAACTTACTAGAGCATAAAAGATCTTCTTTGATCTGACCTCCAGCCATCCTTCCAGCCCATCTGTAACCAGTACCAGCTACCTCCATACTCTCCTTTAACCCTCTTCAGCTTCCAAATTAGCTTATTTTTCAATGCTTTATGAAGTAAGATCCAGTAGTTATTTTATATCTCTGTGTTTTTGTATCTGCTTGGTGTGGCCACTGTCTGCATGGCAAGCTCCTATCGACACTTCAGTTCTTGCTCCAATATTATCTCTTCTGAAGCCTTCCCCAACATCCCAAGCACCATTACCAGAGTTGTGAAAGATGTTGCAGGGACACAGGCAAGGGGCTGTGGCTGAAAACCATGAATCAAAATGACTAAAGGTGTGGAAATTGTTGTTATGAGAATACTGGAACTTAGACACATAAATGGTTAAGTATGAGGTGGGACTGGCAAGTTTAAAAAGAAGTGACACTGTGATTCATTCTGTTTTTGTTGGTGTAAAGCAATTAATTTATTTCATAACCAAAGTAATATATGTATGATAATGTGGAAGAGTTTTTACCTGAATTATATAATTAATTCTATTTATTAAAACATTTCAAAAAGACTAGCATGCAAAAAATAATACATAACAAACATCTATGTACCCACCACTAGAATTAAGTAGATATTAACATTTTGCCTTGTTTCAGGTTGTTGTTTTTTTTCCCCGTTGAAAGAGAATTAAGTTACAGTTATAGTTAAAACTTTACCCCCTCAATCCTTTCTCTCTCTCCTCAGAGGCAACCACTGTAGAAAGGATTTTGTTAGCCACTTTTTCTGGAAAATATATGCAGGGAGCCAAAGGTAAATTTCTGCCGGTGGTCTAAAAAAGGCATAATCAGCAGGAGAGAGAAAATGGATTCTGTATTAGTGTAAACCAATTCATTAATGTATATATGAGATGATGGTTGGTTTGGGATTTTTCTTTTGCCAGAGGAGGCTTTAGAATAGGGAGACATGAATTCCAATTTCAACTACTATTTACTGGTAGCTGTACTTAGGTCTGGTCTTGGTTTCATCTCCTGTGAAAGGATAAAAACGCGTGTCGTGCATAATTTTTGTAAGATTAAAACTAAGTTTTCAAAACACACGCACACCTGGGTGCCTGGCTCAGTTGGAAGAGTGGGCAGCTCTTGATCTTGGGTCATGAACTTGAGCCCCACGGTTGGATGTAGAGATTACTTAAACTTTAAACATACACACACACATTTGTGGCACAAGGTAAATGCTTTAAATGTAGTATCAATTATGATTACCAATTTAATTCAGAATTCAAACTGGTCATGCTGGTTAGACTACAGTATTTTCCCAACCCTTTCATTTTGTTTAGTACTTTGGGGCAAACCAACAGTTTTTTGGGACTGGCTTGTTATACCTACTTCAAGGGCTCCAGATGGCCCAGGCCACTCCACCGGTTAAGGGGTTGATGGGTGTGGTCAGCAGGCATGCCAGTCAGGAAACTGCATCAGAGGATCAGGCTAGTAATAGAGCTTGGTGGACTAGCTCCCTTTTTACTGTCCTTTGTGTGGTTAGAGACTACACCCAATCTGTGGAAAAGCTGCCTCACAAGAATGTGCCATTAGTGAAGAAAGGAGCTCAGTGAAAAGAGATTTGCCTCGCCTTTATTAGAAAAAGACCTTCCTTTTGATCAAGTAGCATTATCTTCCTGGAACAATATAATGAAAGTCCTGAAAGTGGAATTGTTGTTCCTAGGAAAGAAATTCTGGGTAGTACTTTACCATTTACAAAGGCTTTTGAGTGCATTTGTCGCATTGTACACCTTTACAACAACCCTGTGAGGGGGCTCAAAGATTGAGAGATGTATCTAATACCACATGGCTGATGAAAGGTCATTGAAGCTTAAATACAGGTTTTCCAATTCAGTGTTTTTTCTCCAATTCAGTGTTCTTTCCAATTCTTTCAGAATTCAGTATCTCAGAATTCTGTTTTACTATACTGCTGTATTATTTCCCTAACCATGAGCTGAGGAACTTAAAATTTTCACTCGTTTCAGTTCATAACAACTACATGCTTTAAAACCTAAGTTAAAATATACAAAAATCACACAGCTACCTGTAGATCTGTCCCCAGGACAAGTCAAGGAAGAAGGTGCAGAAAGAGTAGTTTTGTGATTTTCATTATATCAGTTTCATAATTTTTTTTCCTCATAATTTCTAAACATAGTAATTTGGGCTTAAAAATAGAGACCTACAAGGTAATTTTTATATTCAAGGCTGGGAAAAAGTGGTGCCTTTCAAAAAAGAGGAAAACTGAGTATGGGAAGTGTACTTGATATCTACTGCTCAGTAACAAATTTTTTTTAAAATGCAGTGTGGAAACATTATCTCACATAAATTCTGAGGGCAGGAATTCAGGAGTAGATTAACTGGGTGTTACAGGGTGTCTCATAAGGTTGTAGTAAGATGTTAGCCAATACTAGAATCTTCTGAACACTTGATGAGGCTGAAGGGTGTACTTTCAGAAAGGCTCACTCAACGTGGCCTTTGGCTGGAAGCCTGTTTCTTGCTCAGTAGACCTGTATCTCTATAGGACTGCTCATTACATGGCAGAGAAATTACCCCCAGAGAAAAAAATCATTCAGTAGAGGGATCAAGTGCCTTTTATTATCTAGTCTTATTTAGCCCATTGTCACTCCTGCTTTTTTTTTTTTTATTTCTTAGAAGCAAATCACTAACTCTAACCCACACCCAAGGGGAGGGGAATTAGGCTCCATCCCTTGATAGGAGGAGAAGCACAGAATTTGTGGACATGTTTAAAGATGCACATACTAAATTTGAGCAAATTCTGTTAAGTGTAGGCAGTGAAGACAAAATGTGGTAGGGTATTTAATATGAGAATTGCCCTTGTACAAATTGAAGCAAATGAGATCACTTAGATATTGAAGTCTTGGTTTCAAAAAAATCAAAGAACTTTGAAAAATGAAATCAGATTGAGTAAGTTAAATTTTAACTGGACTTGATGTTTATATAAAGCAGTTAAATAATAAATGGGTTTATGTAATAAATACTACTGTAGTATTACTATAATATTTTCACGTTAATGGAACTTTAATATGATTGCTGTAGATTTCCAACTGATACCATACAGCGCTCAAAATGGATCAGGGCTGTTAATCGTGTGGACCCCAGAAGCAAAAAGATTTGGATCCCAGGACCAGGTGCTATACTATGTTCCAAACATTTTCAAGAAAGTGACTTTGAGTCATATGGCATAAGAAGAAAGCTGAAAAAAGGAGCTGTGCCTTCTGTTTCTCTCTACAAGGTACTTAAATCTAGGTGGAAAAAAAACAATTCTACAGAGCCTTTAAAAACCAAGATACCTCACATGAGATTTAAAAAATCCTAAGTCTTAAAATAAGTCCAGTAATAGATTTTAAATGCTTAGAAAACTTGTTTTGGGTTTTTTTTTTAATCTATATGTAATGTTGGAATTCTTTTTTTAATTAGGTATATAAATGCAAATCGTTGTCAAGATACTCAACGGATCACAAGATTACTAAACTGATCACAAGAATCAACTAGTAGATGCCTTAGAATTCAGGCTTTTGTTTAAGTGTGAGACAGTTTCCAGTATACTTAGAAATGACACCTTTTTAGGACTCCTCCAATAATGTTATTGATCTCGACCAAAAATGTACCTAATTATTAGCATTGATATAGAGAGTTATATACAGAAAAGAGAGGGCTTTCCATGAGTCAGTTACCAGTATTCGTGTTACATTCTTTTGTTTCTTGGCCACCTCTTGGCCACCCTTTTATACATGGCTCGTCACTGTCTGCACAGCCTGCAGTAGTCATCCATCTGTTCTATCCTGGTGCTACCCTTCCCTCCTCTTATCCATTGGAATCTCCTTTCGGTATTGTTTTGTCTCATTCCTCTATTCAGAAGAATGTAGTTGGTGTCACATCCAAACTCAAAGCTCCAAGAGCTTCCTTTTAATTGTGCATTTCTACATTTGATCTAACTGCTCTGAATTCTCTTTTCAAACTATTGTATTCTTTTTTCAAATTCTCTTTTCAAACTACTGCATAGTGAGAAATTGACTTGCTTTCATGCTTTTGTGTAGAATCAACAGTAGTTATTATTTACTGAGACCTACAGTAGTCCAGGCCATTGTGCCAGAAGATTTACATAAATTATCCTTAAAACAACTCTGTATTATTAACCACATTTTACAGATGAGGAGATGAGGGATTGTAGAAGTTTAGTGACAGCTAATAAATGAGGGATCCAGGATTCAAACCCAGATCAGTCTTAATTCCAAAGCCTGTGCTCTGTCCACTATGCCTTCCTTTTTGCACAAATAACTTTCCTGTCCCCTCTGTTAAGTCACGTTATTGCTTCTTTAAAAAACTACTCAAAACTCATTTCCACGAAGCCTTCCAAATTACCACCTTTCTGTTGTTACCTTAACCATTTCAGACACTTTCAGCATCAGGTTACTGTTTCTGTAGAGATGAAAAAAACCAAAAAACCCTTTTCACATTTTCCTATAAATACATTTGAAAAAATTAGAGATTCTGACCTTTTTCTTTCGTAATTAACACTCCACAGCAACCAGGTGAGTGCTTTGCATTTAGTGGTATTTTTATAGACCGTCTTCTGTGTAATCTCAAAAATAACCTGAATTTGGTATTTCTATTGCAGGTTCTGCAGGGTGTACACCTTAAAGGTAAAGCAAGACAGAAAATCCTCAAACAGCCGCTTCCTGATAATTCGCAAGAGGTTGCTACCGAGGACCATAACTACAGTTTAAAGAGACCTCTGACAATAGGTGCAGAGAAACTGGCTGAGGTGCAACAGATGCTCCAGGTGTCCAAAAAAAGACTGGTCTCTGTAAAAAACTACAGGATGATCAAGAAGAGAAAGGGCTTACGATTAATTGATGCACTAGTAGAAGAGAAACTCCTTTCTGAAGAGACAGAATGTTTGCTACGAGCACAGTTTTCAGGTATGTTCCCCTTTTCCGAATGACCATTATTTACTTTGTTCCTGCCTATGAAAATGTGCTTTTCGCTGAAACATGAAGTCTCGGGGTAAACAAAAAAAAGGAAAAGTAGTTGCCAAAATCCTTTTAGGTATTTCCAGCTTTCAAAGTAATGTGTTTATTAAAGGAAAAGCAAAGAAATATATAAATGATAAAAATTACACGTAATCCTGCTACCCAGAGATGAGATCATATGGTTGATACCGTATACTGTACTTTTCATTTTTTATAAAGCACTCATTTTACTGCAAATTCTTTATAAGCAATTTTAACTGCTACATAATTTATCACTAAAGTGTTTTTGTGGTGGAGTTGAACCAGATAATTTTGCCAGTTCCCTTTGAGCTTGGAAATTCTATGAGTGTCCATATTATTTTCTCAAATATAGAGGATATATATGTCCATTGGAAAGACTACCTACTCTTCTTCGTGAACCAGATATTTGAAGAGGGACAAAATAAGTATTGCCGACTTACTCTTTGATGAAAGCAGCAGAGATTTTGGATTTACATTATGGTAAAAAATAAGTATGTCTTGTTTCTAGAAAAGAGTAGGTATTCAAAGGAGGAGAATATTTTGTGTTCTTCCAGTAGGGGAACAGAGGTAATAAATAGAAATCCCCACCAGGAAAGAGGATTTTTTTTTTCCTCAAGGTAGGCAAGATTGTCTATTCAATCTGAATAGCATCCTATCCTCAGAAATGTTTCTTGTGTCTCATTTTCACCCTCCGATAAATGGTAACCAGGGAACAAAATAAAACAAATAAACTTATAACCCAGAGACTTCGGTTTATCCAGTTATTTCATTCTCTTTCCTATTCCTCTAAAATTCTCCACTTAGGCTGCCAATGAATAGTAAAACATAGTGATTCAAATGGAAACTTTTTTCTTCTCTCTTTTGAGTGAAGTGATCCAAGATGAACAGGAGGAGTTAATTGGTCAGGAGGCCCTAAGATTGGATATTAACCTTTGAACAAACTCAGTTAAACTGTGATTGGATTTGGATTTGGATTTGGATGCCTACCTCAGTTAAACTGTGATTGGATTTGGATTTGGATGCCCACCTCAGTTAAACTGTGATTGGATTTGGATTTGGATTTGGATGCCCACCTCAGTTAAACTGTGATTGGATTTGGATTTGGATTTGGATGCCCACTGCATTTACATCCAAATGCTATGATCTGTACCTGAAAATGTCACTGTATACACTCTTCATCACAAAGAATAAATAAATTTATTTTAACAGATTTTAAGTGGGAGTTGTATAACTGGAGAGAAACAGCTGAGTACTCTACAGAAATGAAACAGTTTGCATGTACCCTCTACTTGTGCAGTAGCAAAGTCTATGATTATGTAAGAAAGATTCTCAAGCTGCCTCATTCTTCCATCCTCAGGACGTAAGTGAATTACTCTTCAGATGTTAACGAGTATTTTATTATTTTGTTGCATTTTATGTGTAAGGCTATTCATACTCATACTCTCATTTATTAATCCATTTTCTCTTTTTAGAAACTTTTAGGTGGTATTTGCATATTATCACAGCAGCAAGATTTTCACCAACAAAATGAAGGCATATAGTCTGACAATTTTTTTTGCATCCTCCAGATGGCAGAGACACTCTCAGTGATAAAAAAAAAAAAAAAAATCTGGATTCTAATATACTTTAGTAGTTTGGGGACTTCTAAAACCTTTCAGTAGTTTTAATATCAGACTATCCTAGAAAATCTAGAACAGTTCTAGATTGTCACAATTGGTTTGAGGCTAAGCACAAAAATCTGCATTTTTGTAAGCACTGTAGTTGATGCCTGGGGCAGATTGTTCAGGGAGGAGATTTTGGTAAACAATTTTGTAGGATTTGTGGTCAAAATACATAGATGTATTTATAACTCTTAGTGTTATAACCCTGTGTTATAAGCAAATAACACAGAGGCTTTACAGTAATGTCTTATAAAAGTAATACTTAACTTTTACTATTTTTTTTATTACTGGTTTTACAGATGCCTATGTATGTATGTATGTATGTATTTGGCTTAAAAGTGACAGAAATTTATTGTCTCACAGTTCTGGAGGCTGGAAGTCCAAAATCAAGGTGTCATCAGGGTTACTTCCTTCTGAGGGCTGTGAGGGAGGAGGGTCTGTTCCGTGTCTCTCTTGACTTGTAGGTGGTGGTCTTTTTCCCTGTGTCTCCTTAGATCATCTTCCATTATATATGTGTGTTTTGTGCCCAGACTTCCTCTTTTTTATGAGCCAGTCATGTAGAATTAGGATTCACTTTAATGACCTCATTTTAACTTGATTACCTCTGTAAAGACCATATCTCCGAATAAGGTCACATTCTGAGGTACTGGGGATTAGGACTCCAATGTATCTTTTTTGAAGGACACAATTCAAACAGATAATAGTCACTTTCCTGATGCATAATATAAGCCTCCCCATTACCCACAACCTGTAGGCCAACTCCTTCCTGTGGTTTACTGAACCTCACTGATGTCTGGCCTTAATGAGGAGCAGGGACAATTCACTCATTTAATTATTATTAACATTTAGGGAATTTTCTTCCCGTCTTTTTCCTGTGCTTAGATTTATTAGTTTTTTACATAGTTACGATCTTTAACAACTGCATAGTATCAGGAAGTTGTGCCCTACTTAACCAGTGCATTCTCCAGCTATTGGACATTTATTTATATTGATCAAGCCTAAGAAAGAGAGACCATGATTATGAATTCCCAAGGAGTTTTGCTATGTAAGGAGCAGAGATATGGATCTGTGGGGCAAAGGGAACATAGGTGGAGGGGAGGGCGTCTGTTGAGAGCACAGTTGTTCTGTGTTTGTGCACTCAAGGGAATGATCTAGTAGGGGAGAAAATTGGTGATGCACGGGAGAAAGGGTCATTGCGGGGGATAACATCTGACACCATTGTGGAGAGACGTCTGGCCTTAATGAGGAGCAGGGACAATTCACTCATTTAAACAGGAAGAAAGGCAGAGATACAGATTCAGTAGGTTAACAGATTGATGGTCGGAAAATGAGTTTTTATTGAATTGCTTCTGTTTTCTCAGTGACATAAATATAATAGCTGAGGAGCGCCTAGGTGGCTCAATCCATCAAGCAACCTGCTCTTGATCTCAGCTCACATCTTGGTCTCAGGGTTGTGAGTTCAAGCCCCACATTGGGCTCTGCACTGGGCGTTGGGGAAGGAGATAAAAGAAGTTTGGGGACAAAGGAGAAAATGTGAATAGTTGTTTTTTCCCCTCTGTGATGATGGAGAAACAGTTATATGGTAAACAATTAGATGATGACAGACCAAGCCAGATTTACATTTTTTTTTAAAAACCCTTGGTTCAGACAGGTGCCTCCCTCACTAATTTCTACTTGTATCTTTCTCTAATTCTTAGCCACTATCAATCCCTTCTCTAATTTTCTGTGCACTGATGTTGGATCTTTTTCAGTTCTCTCTTGAATTCTTTATGTCCAGAACCTTTCCAGAGCTCTGCTTCTTCTAATTCCAGTTCTTTGGGTCTTGAAGGTTTGTTTTCACATATCTTTTGTAAGAATGTCATAACATCCTTAGCCTTCCTTATTTTAACAGTGATAAATATGGAATGATCTTATAGATTTTTTTCTAATTTTCTATTTAGATATTCATTGCAATTTAGTAAATTAGCTCCCTCTAATAGGGAAGGTGGTATGAGAGATTGAAAGGTAAACAAGACCATGGAGGATCTAATAGTCTTGAAAAACACTCAGCTCAACATTATGGCTCTTCAGCGCTCTAATTTTTCCAGGCAGGGTTTTAAGCCACGCAGTGGACTCCCTATGATCACTCCATAAATAAGCTAGTGTTTAATTTAAAATATCATGTTGATGAGAATGTAAATCATTGGTAAAAACTCTGTGAAAGAAAATTTGGGAATGGGAATTAATTTTAAATTGATTCACCCAATTATCTGCACTGGAGGTCCAAAATTTGTTTTTAATTTCTTTTTTTTTTTTAAAGATTTTATTTATTTATTTGAAAGAGAGAGAATGAGAGAGAGAGAGAGCACATGAGAGGGGGGAGGGTCAGAGGGCGAAACAGACTTCCTGCTGAGCAAGGAGCCCAATGCAGGACTCAATCCCAGGACCCTGGGATTATGACCTGAGCCAAAGGCAGTCGCTTAACCGACTGAGCCACCCAGGCATCCCTTCTTAGCCTATTTAAAATAAAAACTTTTACATAGAGGCATGAAGTAATTTCATTACATACTGATTCCATATGCAGCACGGTTAGCATCTTTGGTGTTCACTTGAGGAATCTTAATGCAAGAAACAAAAATTTTAACAATTAAAATTTGGAGACACATTTGCAAAGGGCATCCAACATACTAGTGGGCTATAGCATTGCCCTGTTTTGTCATTATCTTACTATTTTAAAGTATCAACAGCTGATTAATTCTTAAAATTTTTTTGATTAATACTTTTGTCTCTTAAATGGGTTAAAAGCAACTTAAAATATGTCTTTTGGCATCCTATAAATGTGTTTTTCAAATCCATTAGTGCATCTGGAAATTTAGTGGGTCATAATTGGTATTATATACACACATGTTATATATGTGTGCATGGCATGTAGTGAGGGTAAATTTCATTTATGGAACTTTTAGGTTGCAGCAAAATATTTGGAAAGCCCTGTCCTGAAATACTTAGGTACGTTAGAGTCTCAGTTAGAGGTCGGCTGTCCAAGAAGAAACCTTGGCAGCTTAGAATATAGCCCCAAAATCAGAAATATAACCTCCCCTGGGGCACCTGGGTGACTCAGTCAGTTAAGCATCTGCCTTTGGCTCAGGTCATGATTACAGGGTCCTGGGATCAAGCCCCACATCGGGCTCCCTGTTCAGTGGGGAGTCTGCTGCTCCCTCTCCCTGTCCCCCTGCTTATGCTGGCACACCTGCTCTCTCTCTCTCTCTCTCTCTCTCTCTCTCTCTCTCTCTCTCTCAAATAAAAAAATCTTAAAGAGGGCCTGTGGGTGACTCAGTTAAGCGTCTGCCTTCGGCTTAGGTTATGATCATGGGGTCCTGGGATCAAGCCCCACATTGGGCTCCCTGCTCAGCAGGGAGTCTGCTCCTCCCTCTCCCTCTGCTCCTCCCTCTGCTTGTGCTCTGTCTGTCTCTCTCTCAAATAAATAAATAAAATCTTTTAAAAAATGGGAAGAAATATACCCCCCCAAAAGTCATTTGAGTTACAGAAGTAAACTTCAGGGGCACCTGGTGGCTCAGTCTGTTAAGCGGCTGCCTTCGGCTTGGGTCATGATCTCAGAGTGCTGAGATCTAGCCCCACAGTGGGCTCTGCTCAGCGGGGAGCCTGCTTCTCCCTCTCCCTCTGCCTGCCACTCTTGCCTGCTTGTGCTGTCTCTCTGTCTCTCTCAAATAAAATCTTAAACTTCGGTTAAGATGAACACTCCATCTCTACTTCAGAATCCATTTAGTCTTATTTTAGATAGTGATTAACTTGGCTATTGCCTTTCCTGACCCTACAACAAATTAGAAAGAGTAAATTAGAACTAAGTGAAAAGGATTCTGAAGACAGAGGCTAACATTAATAGGAAAGCATAATCAGGAATCTGGGAAGGTCAGGGACACTACAGAAGAACTGCTAAGGTAGTAATGTAGGTACTTTGTGTAGGGCAGACAGATGCAGACTCCTTAATTGTCCCTGAGGGCATAATTTTGAGACTGCAGGGAGCGGAGGGAAAAGCTTGAGCAGGACCTTGGGAAAGCTGGGTTTCCTGTTTGTGCAGAGCCAGCAGCACAGTAAGGGCCATGTGGTTCAAGCTCTCCCTCTGTCCCAGTTTCCTAATCTGTAAAATGAGGTAGATGTGCTAGATACTCTCAAACTTCCTTCCCCTTCAGCAGTTTTCTCATTTCATTGAATTTACAGTTAAGACCAGTTTATGATCTAAATTATAAATATATCAATGAGAACAAACTAGGTAATTGATTTGTATACTTTTTAAAAAAAGTAAATGAGCAAGAAAATTGCTTCGTGGTATGTTTGCATCTTGAAATACTACTCTGTTTCTGAGTTTCTCTGTTACCTTCTTATTTTAGAGTAATTATATGAATACATGCTTGAAAATAACTGTAGAATGTGGCTACTTATACTTGGCATTGTTTCTATAGGGATTTGAGGCTACTTTGGGACCATTTTTTTTTTTAAGATTTTATTTAGGGGCGCCTGGGTGGCTTAGTCGATTAAGCATCTGCCTGCCACTCAGGTCGTGATCCCGGGGTCCTGGGATCGAGCCCCACATCGGGCCCCCTGCTTACTGGGGAGCCTGCTTCTCCCTCTCCCCACCCCCTCTCATGCTTGTGCTCTCTGTCTCTAATATAAATAAAGAAATAAAATCTTTTTTAAAAAAATAAAGATTTTATTTACTCATTGGAGAGGGAGAGAGCATCTGAAGCAGACTCCACACTGAGTGCAGAGCCTGATGTGGGGTCCGATCCAGGACTGTGAAGTCATGACCTGAACCAAAACCAAGAGCTGACGCTCAACCAACTGAGCCAGCCAGACGCCCCTACTTTTGTACCGTTTAAGTCATTTTTCCTTCTTTTATTTTTTCATTTGAATTTTATCATTTTCATTTTTTCCCATTTTCCAGATGGTTATCCAAATGCAAACCCAGCCCAGGTTTCAACAGCAACATTTTTTCTTTTCTTCAGCGAAGAGTGGAGAAGGGAGAGCAGCTCTATCAGTATTGTTCACTGACCATAAAAGGCCTCTCTCTCAAGCAGCAGCTCCAGTGGGACCCTAACAGTCACCGTCTGCAAGGGTTTATGGACTTTGGCCTCGGTGCACTGGATGCTGATGAAACGCCCCTCGCCTCCGAAACAATTTTGTTAATGGCAGTGGGTATTTCTGGTCACTGGCGAGCACCTCTTGGTTATTTTTTCGTAAACAGGGCATCTGGATATTTGCAAGCTCAGCTGCTGCGTCTTACCATCGGCAAACTGAGTGACATAGGGATCACAGTTCTGGCTGTTACGTCTGATGCTACAGCTCACAGTGTTCAGATGGCAAAAGCCTTGGGGATACATATCGACGGAGACAACATGAAGTGTACGTTTCAGCATCCTTCATCTTCCAGCCAACAGATTGCATACTTTTTTGATTCTTGCCACTTGCTCAGATTAATAAGAAACGCGTTTCAGAATTTGCAAAGCATTCATTTCATTAATGGCACAGCACATTGGCAGCACCTCGTGGAGTTAGGAGCACTAGGGGAACAGGAGTTAGCAAATATGGAAAGACTCCCAAGAAAACTTACAAATCTGAAAAACCATGTACTGAAGATGAACTGCGCTGCCCAAGTGTTCAGTGAGAGCGTGGCCAGTGCGTTGGAGTGCCTGCTGTCGTTAGGCCTGCCTCCGTTTCAAAACTGTATTGGTACCGTCCACTTTTTACGCTTAATTAACAACCTGTTTGACATCTTTAATAGTAGGAACTGTTATGGAAAGGGACTTAAAGGCCCTCTACTGCCTGAAACTTACAGTAAAATTAATCGTGTGCTAATTGAAGCCAAGACTATCTTTGTGACATTATCTGACGCTAGCAACAATCAAATAATTAAAGGTAAGCGAAAACTAGGATTCCTGGGATTTTTACTTAACGCTGAGAGCTTAAAATGGCTCTACCAGAATTATGTTTTCCCTAAGGTCATGCCTTTTCCATATCTTCTGACTTATAAATTCAGTCAAGACCATCTGGAATTATTTCTGAAGATGCTTAGACAGGTATTAGTAACCAGTTCTAACCCTACCTGTATGGCATTCCAGAGAGCTTACCATAATTTGGAGACTAGATACAGATTACAAGACGAAGTTTTTCTAAGTGAAGTAAGCATCCTTGACATTTCAATTGCTCGAAGGACAGACTTGGCCCTTTGGACAGTTCAGCGTCAATATGGTGTCAGTGTTATAAAGACTCTCTTTCACAAAGAGGATATTTGCCAAGACTGGTCTTATTGTTCTCTAAGTGAGGCATTACTCGATCTGTCAGATCACAGGCGAAAACTCACCTGTTGTGCCAGTTATATTGCAAATAAATTATCAGCTCTTTTAACTTGTGAGGACTGCATCAGTGCACTGTATGCTTCGGATCTCAAAGTTGCTAAAATTGGGTCACTGTTATGTGTTAAAAAGAAGAATGGTTTGCATTTCCCTTCGGAAAGTCTATGTCAAGTCATAAATATTTGTGAGCGAATTGTAAGAACCCATTCAAGAATGGCAGTCTATGAACTACTTCCTAAACAGAGAGAATTGTATCTGCAGCAGAAAATATTATGTGAGCTTTCTGGGCATATTTATCTTTTTGTAGACTTAGATGAGCATCTCTTTGATGGAGAAGTGTGTGCCATCAATCACTTCGTAAAGTTACTAAAGGATATAATAATTTGTTTCTTAAAGATCAGAGCTAAAGATGTAGTGCAGTACCCTTTAAAACACCATTCAGAAAGACTTGAAATGAAAACTTTGTCAAGGAAATACTGGTCACCTTTACAGGATTACAGATGTTCAGGTTTTGCTAATACCAATAAATTCAGGCATTTGTTAAGTAATGATGGATATCCATTCAAATGAGGGACCTAAAATATGTCAGTTTTTATGAAGAATAATTGGTCAACATTTTTTAAAGTTCAACTTACTGTATTTTATAAATTGACCATTTTGCACAGTTGACAAGTTTGTAATTCTGACTTATTAGAATTTCTAATTATGCATATTATAAAATCTCATACTTTGGTTTGCAGCATTGCAGTTACTTGGATCATAGAAAGCTGTAAGTCAGTAGGAGCAGACTAGCCAACAGATGCTGCTTTTGAATATACTACTCTAAGACTGAGTAATGGGACTGGACATACTTTTAACTTGTTCAGTCTATTTTAAAATGAGAGAATAACAACTAAGAGTGATTAAAACATTGACTCTGACAGATAGACTACCTTCCCTAAAAGTGCTTTGGTTTACAGCTCTTAAGAATGTTGACAGGAAAAAAAAAAGTAAAAGGAATGTTGACAAAATACCTATAAAACCTTGGATATAATTTTTACTTACATAAGAAAATTAAGATGTGGTTTGAAGATTAGGCTAACTTAAAATACCAAATACCACAAAATCCCTTTGCCAGGGTACCCTAAAACAAAAATGTGCTGCAACGAAGCTGGGGAATGTAGTCCGGGAAGTACATAGGTGATGTCATTTTCACAATCCATTGTCCTTGGACTTCGAAACACTATTTTTGAGTAATAGAGTGGGTACTTACTTGACCACCGGAAGAGCCCGATGCCCATCAGAGAATGAGGAGAAGCCTTATTCCAGCTTCTCCTTCTGAAGTCTCCTTGTGTTTGCAGGGAGGCTGAAATAAATGTATTTTCAGTGTTGAGTGAATAATGGGATTCACACCATGCAATTAATAAATTAGAAAAATATGGTCAATTGAGACAATGGTTATGAAAATATTTGTCTTAATTATATAATGAGTTTTTTCAGAAATTTAGAGGCGCTTAAATAATCTGAAGATGGAAACATACAAAGAACAATTTTCTCCATTCTCTCACACCCAGAATTGAAAAGATGAATAGAAAAACATACAGGTATATGTACTTTCACATATGGGGAGTGTTTTAAATGGATAAAAGAAACAAACACATGATGATTCATCTCTGTGTGTAAAACATTTACTCTTCTTGTCATTGAATGAATATTCACAAAGTACAGTTAATATGAAAACTTAAAATTGCAGAAGATTAACGACCAGGTAAAAGTTGAGTTTTATTAATTAAAATTCTCCTTAAATTGTATATTTTTATATGTTTGTTTGTTCTACCTCAAACAAAGGCTTAAGTTTTGAGATGTAACCAGAGTTGTACTACATTTTATGCAAGAGCTATTGCTGAGAAGTCTAGAGATTGTGGTTTTTGTTTGTAATAGAATGAGTTTAGATGCACCGGATAAATCTTATTTAAAGGAAGCCTATTTGTAAATCACCACCTTTTTAACTTATTGTTTATATAAATCCAAGTTTTGGCCTGAACTTTACTTAAAACTAGGTTCATATCTGTAGGTGTCTGTTCTTTGCTGTTGCATTTTACTACTGTACTAATATATACTGTAGTTTAAGAAATTAGTGTTTTGCATTATTTCTTCAAATGCTGGATAAACTGGACAAACATGGAAGACACAAATATTTCCTTCACTGCCTTTAACGGTTACTTGCTCTTGCCCTAGTGAAAGTGTTTCAAGTCTGATATCAGGTTTGCTTCACATGATATGCTTTACAGTGAATTTTTAAAATAAATTATTCATATTTGATTAGGGTAATTTAGTTTATATTTTTCACTTAGCACCTTTGTCCTTTTTTCTTCAGAGAAAACAAACATTCTCTTCAGAAACTTATCTTGCCTGCTTTTCAACAAATAGTGCTGAAACAACTGGATGTCCACATGCAAAAGTATTAACTCTAAGTGGGTCAAAGACCTAAATGTAAAAGGTAAGACTAAAAACTCTTAGAAGAAAATAGAGTAAATCCTTGGTACTTGGATTAGGCAACAGTTTCTTAAATATGACCCGCAAAACATAACAAAAAGTAAATTGGACTTCACCAAAATTAAAAACTTGTGCTTCAAAGGATACCGTCAAGAAAGAGACAACACACAGAATGGGAGAAAATTTTTACTAATATATCCGATAAAGGACTTGTATCCAGAATATACAAAGAACTCCTGTAACTCAATAATGAAGGACAAATAACCCAGTTTGAAAAATGGGTAAAGAACATGAATAGACATTCCTCAAAGGAGATCTGCAGATGGCCTGTAATACATGAATATATACCGAACATCCTAAACCATCTGGGAAATGTAAATCAAAACCACAATGAGGTATCCCTTTACACCCACTGGGATGGCGATAAGACAGATAATAAGTGTTGACAACAATGTGGAGAAATTGAAACCCTCATACACTGTTGGTGGGAATGCAGATGCTTTGGAAAACAGCTTGGCAGTTCTTCAAAGGGTTAGTTAAACATAGAGTTACCATATCTCCCAGCAGTTCTACTGACAGGCATATACCCAAGAGAAATGAAAACATGTGCATTTAAAAACTTGTACACAAATTTCATAGCATTATTATGGCTAAAAAAGTGAAAATGCCTAAATGTCCAACTGATGAATGGATAAATAAAAATGTGCTGTATCCATTACCAGTGGGTAATATGGTAGATATGTGTTGTACTGCCAGAACTCTTTTTGTGAAATGACTGTACCACTCTGCATTCCAATGAGGAGTGTATGAAAGTTCAGTAGCTCTCCTTTCTTCCCAGTATTTGGTAGTGCCAGGGTTTTGTTTTGAATTAGCCATCTTAATAGGTGTGCAGTGATATTTCATTGTGGCTTTCATTTCCATTTTCCTAATGGCTAAAGATGCTGAGCATCTTTTGATAGGATTATTTGCCATCCACATATTCTTAGGTGAAAGGTCTGTTCGTCTTTTGCCCATATTTTGGAAAGTTGGGTTTTTTTATTGTTACATATTTTGGATATAAGTGCCCTATCTGATGTATTTTGCAAATATTTTCTGCCAATCTGTGGCTTTTCTTACTTTCTTAGTGTGTTTTGAAGAGCAGACATTAATTTTGCTGAGTTCAATTTATCAGTTTTTTTCTTTTAGGGATCATACCTAGTTTCATACTTTGCCTAACTCAAGGCCACAGAGATTTTTCTTGTTTTCCTCTAGGTATTTTGTAGCTTTAGGTTTTGCATTTAGGTTATGATCCATTTTCAGTTAATTTTGGTCTGTGGTGTAAGTTGAGTTTCATATATTTTTACATATGGATATCCCAGCACTGTTTGTTAAAAAGATTATTCTTTCTTCCCTGAATGACCTTTGAACGCTTGTCAAAAATCGACCACTTATATATGGGTCTACTTCTGGGTTCTCTGTTCTGCTCCATTGATCCATAGGTTTAACACTTCACCAGTACCACAGTGACCTGATTAGCCTTATATGACTCTTGAAGCTAGGTGGGAGTCTGTCAACTCTGCTCTTTATTCAGAAATATTTGAATTGTACCTTTCTGTATAAATTTTATAATCAACTTGAGTTTTACAAAAATTCCTGCTGGGATTTTGACTGGAGTTTTGTGGAATCTAAAGATCAATTTGGAGAGAAATGAGATCTTAATAATATTGAATGTTCCAATCCATGAACATGGTATATCTTTTTTAAGGTCTTCTTTAATTTTATCAATGTTTTCTACATTTCACCTACAGATCTTGTATATATTTGTTACATTTCATGTTTTGTGGTGCTACTATAATGGTAATTGTAAAAATTTGTTTCTAAATGTTCATTGCTACTATGTAAAAATACAGTTTTGTATATTGACTTTGCTTAAACTCACTCTAGTAGCTTTTTTTTAAAGATTGCTATGACTTTCCTATGTAGGCAGTCATATCATCCACCAGCAGATACTGTCTTATTCATTTCCAATCTGTGTCTTGTTCCCCTTCCCCCCACCTTATTGTACGGTGACGTGCAACACAATGTTGACCAAGAGTGCCTTGTTCCCAGTCCTTGAGGGGGAAACATTCAGTCTTCATCACTCATGATGTTAGCTGTAGACTTTTTGGTAAATGGTCTTTTTAGGTTGATAATCCCTTTCTTGCTCATTTGCCAAAGAGAGTGTGTGTGTGTTTAAATCATAAATGGGTCTTGAATTTTGTCAGATAATTTTTCCGCACCTTTTTTTTTGAAAAACATTTGAGATATAATCTACATACTGTAATATTTACCTTTTTAAAGCATGTAATTCAGCAGTTTTTAGTATATTCAAAAGGTTTCCTGCAACTTCTGACATGATCATATAGTTTTACTTTTTGATATTGATAGTGAATTACATTGGTTATTTTTAATGTTGAGCCAACCTTTTATTCCTGAAATAAAACCCAACCTGCTCATGATGCATTCTTTTTATCCATTGCCAGATTTCACTTGATAATAGAATCAATTACAGAGTTGAAGTCTGTGGCCTTACAGTAAATATTACCCTGAATATATTTATTTTCTTACTGCTTTTGAGTAAAAACTAAACATGCCTTAAATGCTTTCATAAAACTTACTATTTAGAATTTTTAAAGAGACCTTTATACATTTCATTTTATAAAATCACTTGGATCATAAAAAGCTCACATGTGGTCTATAGATAATGCCAAAATCTGCATTAAAGAAACCCTCACACACACACACAAAGTCCTAAGTAATTAACATAATAGAAAATAATTCCAGTAGTAAAGGCTTTCTAGCTTCCCTCTCTGAGTCGCTGCTGTGGAATTTCTACATAAAATGCTGAAAAAGGATGCAACATGATGCTGGAGGTCCTGCTTTGGAAGCTGCATTTACATAAGTACTTATTTTCTTAACTACTTGTGTTACAGAACAATAAAAGTGGAAAACTTTTCTAAAGGTATTTTTATTCACATTTTACATAAGATTGAGAAAATGTCAGTTGTCCCTATGAAAGAATAGGGAAGCTAAAGCAGTAGTCTCTCATGGTTGCTGCTCTGGTTGTTTTATTGCAGGCAACATTAAGGTTCTGTTTCCTACATAATCCAGAGATAAGACCTACAGATTGCTTTTAGTTCTTGAGAGAAAAGGAAACTAAGATAGGTGCTCACCATAAAAACATCAAACATTAAAGGAAAAAGTAGACCAGGTTTCTGCCCTTACGCAGTGGGGAAAAAAGACATACTCTTCATTTCAAAGCAATTTAGCTTAATCATAATTGGGCAAAATGAGAGACTTATTTTTTAGTTGTGTGCTTTCAGAAGTAATGTCAAATTTACTTAAAATCAGATTTTAAAAGTTTCTTGTAACCTGTTTAAAAGTGTTTTTAAAGAAAACAAAACCCTTTTTTTACAGAATAGTATAAATGTTTATTTTCTGTATGATTTACTTTGCTGTCCTGTTTTTACAATATAGAAAAGTGTATTCTTTGAATAGCTCTAGTAAATATAAATTTAATCTTTCTACTTTGGGATGTAAATAGAGCTAAAAAAATTATATACCCAACCCACCCCAAATAGTCTTTTAAAATTGTTGAATTAATGTGGATATTAATCTTGTTCAGCAATTTGATGCAAATGCCTAAATACAAAAAGTTGCTTAGTAAGTACTACACAGGAAGGAAAAGTCTTAATACTTTAGATAGCTTCTTGAAAATCAGAAAAACTAGTAGCATTTGATTGCACCTTCAAGTTTTTACAAGCAAAACATTCTCAAGCAATGCCGTCATACATAATCTACAATTGTAATCCAAATTTCACAAACATTTTCTGCACACTGTATATAAATACACATCACAAAGGTGCAATTAGAATTAAACACAGAATATGTACAAAATGAACAAAGTTTAGGTTTAGACCAAAAACGTATTGTAATCTTTTGAAAAATAACTTGATTAGATAATTTTTATCCTCTTACACTAATTTACATTTATACAAATTTTAATTATACTAGACTGAGGTGCTAAGAATGTTTGCACTATCTACATTTAAAGTTATCTACTGCACTATAATTTTATAAATCCAAATTTCAAAAGGAAGATACTTCAATGAATAACGGAATCTTCTTTTGGATTACTTAATTTCTATTGCCTATATGTTGCGTGTTCATATGAACATATATACACACTTAATACATACAACTATAGATTCCTTGTAGGAAATGTAATAATCATACACTAATCATTACTGAGGATTAAGGTACCTAACAAAATGCCTGAATTCCAACACGTTTTTTTCTTGTCATAAAATCCGGAGTCCTATTACTGGCTCTTAAATTCATAAAGCTTTCGAATTCTGAATTAGTGAAAATGATTTAGGTTATTTTAGTAGTAATAAAACACTCATACTTTCAGCTTACCAAATCACTAAAAAGAATGCCATATTAAGCTTCCCTTACAAAAAGAAATCCCACTATAATTTTGAAAGTTTTGTTAGGCCCTTTCAGTAAATCAAGTAAGACTCATACATTGGATTGAGACCTCTTAATTCAAAAGTCTATAAAGAGAACCGTATAGATGAAAAATCCTTCCCTAAATTCATCTATTAGAGCTTCAATGTTCTTTATTTCTCCATCCAAGCCAAATTTTATACCTGATAATTATGTAAGGTTTTATATCATCACTACATAATAACATTAAGTTCTATTCATATGCACCTCTCACTTTTAATAGTACCCGGTAATCACTTTGACAATTTATTATCATTTCAAATGCACACCACCTCCTTCAAAGAAAACGGAAACACCCT